AGGACTTGTGTTTCTCTAATACAAAATCTTCTATCATTATCTTACATGGCATTGTGTTAAGTTTTCCCAGAAATCCTCTGATGAGGTATTATTAAGTTCACTTTTCATTTAATAGAACAGACTGGAAAGGGTTTAGTAACTTAGGTAAGGTCACATAGTAATATGGCTTGGTTTTGCCTATGTCCTGAATGGTTTTGCCTAGATTTTCTTCTAGGGTTTTTATGGTGTTAGGTCTTGTGTTTAAGTCTTTAATCCATCTGGAGTTAATTTTAGTGTAAAGTGTCAGGAAGGGGTCCAGTTTCTGCTTTCTGCACATGGCTAGCCAGTTTTCCCAACACCATTTATTAAACAGGGAATCCTTTCCCCATTGCTTGTTTTCCAAAACGCCAAAAGCATTGGCAACAAAAGCCAAAATAGACAAATGGGACCTAATCAAACTCCACAGCGTCTGCACGGCAAAAGAAACAGTCAGTAGAGTGAATCAGCAACCAACAGAATGGGAAAAAATTTTTGCAGTCTACCCATCTGAAAAGGGGCTGATATCCAGAATTTACAAAGAACTAAAACAGATCTACAAGGAAAAAACAAACAAGCCCATTCAAAAGTGGGCAAAGGATATGAACAGACACTTTACAAAAGAAGACATACATGAGGCCAACAAACATATGAAAAAATGCTCAGCATCACTGGTCATTTGAGAAATGCAAATCAAAACTACATTGAGATATCATCTCACACCAGTTAGAATGGCAATCATTAAAAAATCTGGAGACAACAGATGCTGGAGAGGGTGTGGAGAAATGGAACACTTTCACACTGTTGGTGGGAGTGTAAATTGGTTCAACCATTGTGGAAGACAATGTGGTGATTCCTCAATGACCTAAAAACAGAAATCCCATTTTACCCAGCGATCCCATTACTGGGTATATATCCAAAGGATTATAAATCATTCTACTATAAGGACACATGCACACGAACGTTCATTGCAGCATTGTTTACAATAGCAAAGACCTGTAACCAACCCAATGCCCATCGATGATAGACTGGACAGGGAAAATGTGGTACATATACACCATGGAATATTACGCAGCCACCAAAAACGATGAGTTCGTGTCCTTTGTAGGGACACGGATGAACCTGAAAACCATCATTCTCAGCAAACTGACACAAGAACAGAAAATCAAACACCGCATGTTCTCACTCATAGGCAGGTGTTGAACGATGAGAACACATGGACACGGGGAGGGGAGCACTACACATTGGGGTCCGTTGGGGGGAAATGGGGGAGGGATGGGAGGTGGGGAGGTGGGGAGAGATAGCATGGGGAGAAATGACAGATATAGCTGAGGGGAAGGAAGGCAGCAAATCACACTGTTGTGTGTGTACTTATGCAACAATCTTGCATGTTCTTCACATGTACCCCAAAACCTAAAATGCAGTTTTAAAAAAAAAGTAATAGGGTTTGGTTCTTTATCACCACTCAAATCTATTTTCAAATTATAATCCCCATAATCCTCATGTGTCAAGAGAGGGACCCCATGGGAGGTGGTTGGATCATGGAGGTGGTTTCTCCCATGCTGTTCTCATTATAGTGAGTTAGTTCTCACAAGACCTCATGATTCTATAAGCATCTGGCATCTTCTGCTTGCTCCTCTCTGTCCTGCCACCATGTGAAGAAGTTCTTGCTTCCCCTTCACCTTATGCCATGATTATAAGTTTCCTGAGGTCTCCCATGCTGAACTGTGAGTCAATTAAACCTCTGTCCTTTATAAATTACCCAGTCTTGGGCAGTATCTTTACAGCAGACAGCCAGGTGTGGGGAGCTGGGATTTGTATCCAGATTCTTGTGACTTCAAAGCTCTCATGTCCATTTTGGGCTCCCATATATATCAGAGGAGGAGAAGGAAAACAAGACACATAATGACTGCAGAGTGGCAAGCTCCTTCTTAAGGCAACCAATTGTAACTCTTAGCAGCTTTGTGGGATTCAAACTCAGGTCTGTACAACTCTGGACTGTTCTTAACTACTTCACTCTTTTTTGCCTTTATTTTGGTAGAGGGTAGAAGTACCTTCTAGGGAAGAAATAATTCTCTCCCAAGACAAAATTATGGGTCACAAATTTATATCAAATATATCTAAACAGGGATGTGTCCAAAATGCAAATTAAGAGAGAAATTAGAGTTTGTGCAGAACATCAAAATGTCTTTGTATTTTGTCTAGCAGCATACCATATACCAACATGAATGTGATTAAGTACATTAACTATAGCTTGATTAGCTATAATTACAGGAATCACTAGATTCTTATTAGTTTTAACTGCAGATATATATCCCTCTCATAATTCACGGTAGGAAAATATGACTGAAAGACAATCTTAATTCAAAGAGTGCATCATCTGGAGGCTGAGGTGAGAGGATCCCTTGAGCCCAGAGGTTTGAGGTTTCAGCAAGCCATGATCACACCACTGCACTCTAGCCTGGGTGACAGGGTGAGTTCCTGTCTCACTGTGTCATTTTAGTATTTTTCATGTGCTTTCAGAAATTACAATGTTTAGTACATTTCTGCAACAGAAAACCTAATTGTGCTTATACAATTTTATTTTATAAATTTTATTTTATAAATTTTATTTGCATTTATGGTTTTATGCAAAAGTAAACAGGAAAGTCAGGAAATCTGAATCATACCATAAAGTGAACTTCCAATAAAGGGAAGCTTGGTTTCTCAGATATGGAGGAGAAAGCCACTATCCTTCCAACACAAAGCCACGATGTTCCTTCAAGTGTCCTGAAAACAGGAAATGCCCTGTCTAACCACCTCACATGACCTCAGCATTCAGTTACTTTAGGCCTATGAGAAAGTTCACTTACTCCTTCATTCATTCCACAATATTACTGAGCACCTGCACCGTGCCAGATAATACACTAGGAACGAGGGAAGCATCAAGCGGGGAACAACGCCAGTGGGAAAAACCAGATGTACTCATGACCTGGTGGAGGTCATAAAAAAAAAAAAAAAAAAAAAAAAAAAAGTTGAGGTTATTCACAGATCCCATCTGTGTCCGAAACCTTTCACAGGGTGTGTTTAGCAATGCTGTCCACTGAGCACTTTTGCAGATGGGAGACTGAAGCTGTTAAAGGAAGTGACTTAGACAGCTCTGCTCACCAGGAAAACCAAGAGACTAGATTTAAGGACTTCTGATTTACAGGCAAAGATTTTTTTTTAAATTAAATGTATATTCTTCACTCAAAATGGCTATTTTTGTAAATGCTATTATGTAGATTAATTAACTTCCAATATGAAGTTGAAGTTAAATTGATTGAGCTAAAGGAATCTAAAACAATGTACACTGAATAGACACTGTTCACAATTGGTGCTCATTATTCAACCAAGAAACAAATGAGATTCCACAGACATCCTGCTATTGGTACATGACTATACTTTAAAGTAGAGTCAGCCAAAAAAGTGTCCATAATTACATGAATGTACTCTGTCCTCAGGGTATCTCTAGGAAGTGGGCAGGCGGGGGGGTGGGGGTGTAAGTTTTTCACTTAAAATGATTCAAGATTCCTTTTTTAAATTAAAAAAAAAATCCTCAGTGGGACAGCAAGTGGCCTGGAATGAGACTAGAAGATATGCATTACCTAGTTCAGATGAAAGATGTTTTAAAAGCTGCCTTATATGATGTGATTTCACTAATGATATAAAAAATCATATTCTTCAACAAACACTTATTTGTGAACTTTACGGCAGGCATACATTTCCCTATTTTTAAAAAGTACATTGTAGGGCTGCCCACCACTATTATGAACTTTTCTAAATATGTTTATCAGATCAAGGAGGACTTGAAGCATAAGGTTTTAAAGCTGAAAGATCGGGTTATTAAAGCACAATGCTGGCACCTGCAGAGCCCTGGGGCAGCTTGGAGCTTTTGTTTATGAGCACAAGGGCTATGTCTACGTCCTGAAAATCAGGAATCTAAGTTCAAACTAAGTCCATTCTAGAAAAATGAGTCTTTTTTGAAGAAGCCACAGAATGCTTCAGGTATGCTTTCCAGGATTTGACATCAGACAAAAGCCAGGATTAGAGGATATGGAAGAATGGCCATCATCTGCCACCAACCTGGGGTGTTATCACGGGTGTGCCACAAACTCCTTGCACCTTAGTCTCTTAACCACACAATTTAAGAATAAGACTAGGTTATCTTTACGGTCCTTTTCATTTCTAAAATTCAAATTCATACATATTCCTCCTAATATTTACCATACATCTTTTTTGCTTTAAATTTGCTTTCCTCTCATCTTATATCCAGTGGTAATAAAAACATGCATCATCATCAAATCATTGCACATGATGACATTTATATAAAACCCAAAACACTGTGATAAAACTTCTTCAGATTGAAGGGACTGATTTCCCATGCTGACCATAGTGCTCTAGTACCATAAGCATTTGCATATTGTCAGTTTAAACAATGCACAGTAGTTAGTCCATTTGCCACAGGTCCTGAAGCCAGAAAGTGGTAAGGCTGGGATTCAAATCCAGGACTCTGTGTCTAAGGACCACTGAAATACTGCTTATTTGTAGTTGAATCACAACATATTTCAGGTGATGGAGATTCAGGGCTGCAAGAACCACAACAGAAACACTGTACAGAAACTCCACACACGGCCCCTCTTACCACCCGACGGCGTCCATCATCCTACCTCCCACCGTGGTGAGCCACCATGACTGGCACAGAATCACACAAGAGAAGGCCACGACTTACTCATATATAACAACCACACCGAAGGATCCCAGCACGTAAGATGGATTTATTTGACTTTGGTGTGCAGTGTGGCGAGATCCACTTTTTCCTTTCCTTGCAGTTAGAACTCTGATCTCCCATGCTGACCATAATGCTCTAGTAACATAAACACTTACATATTGTCAATTTAATCAATGCACAAACTCCATCATATTCATAAAAATGTGAAAGATTACAAAAGAGGCCAAGGCGGAACCGCTGTGAAAGCCGTAACATTTATTAAAGAGCGGACATATGTTTGCAAACCACAGTGTGCATGCGCATACATTACATGGTTCATAATGCTGTTTCAATTAGGCTTTTCATAGCGCTTTCTCATAACGTCCATTTTAAAAAAATAACTGAAAGGAAAAAGAAAGTGTCAAATGCAATTACATTTACGAAACCAAACCGCTGCTTTCAATTAGAGCGAATCTGTGCTTGGCTACTCAGATATACACAAGTAGATTTTCCAAGGCCCATGCATAAACTTCTGTAGGGGCAGAAATGTTCTATGAATAATGGCTTTAGTAACCCAAATAGTATCTCTAACCATTGACAAGCTTGGGAAACAGGGCAACAACTGTAACGAACAATAGAATTTCTAACATTTGTCTCAGTCGACACACCACTTTGCCCAGGAGATATTTAACACAGCATTTCATGTTTGGAATGATAAGGAAAAATTCATCTATATTAAGGGTATCATAAAGAATATACTTATAAAAGGCATTTCCCATCTTAATTAATATTTAGAAAGTAGATTTATTGTAGATTTATTTCCTTTTGGTCCAGTGGAAGAAATTTTGGCAAAATTATTAAAAAAAAAATACTGCTTAGCTCTTAACATGGAATTAAGCCTCCTGTTTTCCTCTGAAAACGTATCTCTCAACCACAGCAATAAAAAATAACAATTCCCAGGAGTTTAAACAATTTTTTAAAACTATCTATTGGATAAGTAGAAAAGTTATGTTCATTTTTTTTCTTTTCTTTCTTTCTTTTTTTTTTTTCTTAGACATAGTCAAACTCTGTCACCCAGGCTGGAGTGCAGTGGAGCGATCTTAGCTCACCACAACCTCCACCTCCCAGGTTCAAGCCATTCTCCTGCCTTAGTAGCTGGAATTACAGGCGCACACCACCACACCCAGCTAAGTTTTTGTATTTTTAGTAGAGATGGGGTTTCACCATGTAGGTCAGGCTGAGCTCAAACTCTTGACCTCAAATGATCTTCCCACCCTGAACCCCCAGTGCTGGGATTACATGTCTGAGGCACCGTGCCTGGTGATTTTTTTCTGAACTACCTACCATTTCTTTTCCCCTTTAAGCTTTTTATGGAAATAACTAAAATAGTAGTGATTAATGATCATGGACTAGAAAGTTATTTGATTTTATCTCCTCAGAGATTAATAATGTAAAGTTGAAGATGATTTTTTAATCAAAGAATCTGATTGTGTAAAATATCTGATATAGGAATATGTAATTGATGACAACTGCGAGAGCTAATAAGAGTAAAATTAGAAAACTCTAAAAGAGAAAGTCTAATGGATTTGCTCTGCACTACGCAAATTGTTTTATTTAATAAAGCAATCATGTATGCATCTACATGGCTTTAAGCACAAGATGTCAGCTGATATAAGAAATTCCTAATACTTTGTACTTGGTCTGAGAATTGGGAATCTAGGGTCAGACTTTCACTTATTTCTCTTATTTATCCCTGGATGCAATATTTCACATTTTATCCCTTATTTGCCTGGAAATTCAGAAATCTTCCACCTGCCTGACCATATTTTGATACCTAATCAAATATTACATGTAAGAATCTATATAAAGCAAATGTTTTATCTAAGGATTTTAATTATGTTAACTTCTCTTTTTGTTATTTTTCAACCCCCATGCAAGGGACCTGTTACAATACTCAGGCTCTTATAAGAGAAAAATTCAGACACGCTCATCTCAATTTTCAAGCAGGTGCTTCCCAGTCCCTGGCACATCTGGTTTTCCTTTATATAGAAAAGAGTTTGCAAGTCCACCATCACCTGCTTTGTATCTTGGTTGGATTCTTCCCAGAAGACGCTATCAGGGAACAGCGCATTTGCACTCCTAATTTATAAATCACAGTCATCAAATCACAGGAAAATATACATGTGCCATTCACTTATTTTCACACAAAATTTATCAATCTGAAGCTGCCATAAAAAGAAGAAAGCTAACGAAATCTATTCATATCTGTCTATGTCCCTATTTCCCCAGACTTGAAAACTGCTGGCCTTTATGAATTTGCTGTTTTGTTTTGAGATGGGGTCTTACTCTGTTGCGCAGGATGGAATGTTACTGTTTTCTTAAATCAAATTCTTTTCATTCAATCAACAAGCATTTACTGAACTCCTAAAATGAGCAAGTGCTGTAGCCTTTTTAATCCTTCCTAAGAAAAATCAAAGGGGACTTATTCAGTGGGTTTAAGGCAATGATAAGGGAATGTCAATTTCTGTCTGAGTTTTCCAGTCAGCTTTAAAGTAATCTCTTCTACATAAGAAGAAATAAGATAACTGTGAGAGTAAGGAAGGGAAGGGAGAGAGGCAGTTAGCACCTGCTGCCTGCCTAGCACTGGGCCAAGGGCTGTATGTGGGTGTAAGCTGTAGAACCCTTAAGCCTCTTAAGAACTAGAGAGGTATTTATTTTTCCCATTTTACAGACAAGGGAAAAGAAGCTTTAATGAGTTTCATAACTGTTCAATATGATTCCTCTAGCTACATTATAGCTTACATCCTTAACAGATTCACCACAGAACAATACTACTAGAATAACTTCAGAATTTAAACTAAGATCTGAGTAACTCCAAAGTGAAAACCCAATGCTTGTTGTTGTCACTGTTTATTGCATAACATCAAGAGGCTATAAATATCTCTGAACAGAGAAACTGCTTGAATGCTCCAAGTTGAGAAACTACTATCCTTTGTTGCTATAAATTCAGTTTTTCCCAGAATTACGGGTTCAGTTCCCACCAGGGTAAGGAAGGAGACCTTAACATTATGCCTTCCCTATGCCAAGAAATCTTTTATGTGAACGAAATCTTTTTTACTTCCTGAAATTTTAAGATGAACTAAAGAAAATTTTGCTATGACCCTCCAAACTCCTCAATATTATCAAATGAAAGTCTGTAGTTAATCTCTTTCAATGTTCTAGGAAATACAAATCAAGATAATTCTCTAGTTTTTATAATATATTTTTTCTTAGTCAATTGCTACTTCTTTTATGTTCAAAAATTAAGGATATTATTATTGGTGTTTAGATAAAAAGAAAAAACACTGAAAAAATTACTCTTCCTAAGACTAATTGTCTCTAGATACAATTAATGGTAAGACTAATTCCTTTCTCTTATATTCTACCTCTTACCTCATTTCTATTTTAATGCAAAGCAATTCATGGGCATCCTTCAATACTTCTCTGCTTATTTGAAAGTTTTCTTCCCCTAGTTTTAACTAAGATGTCTTTTAAAAATCCATTGGCTTTTTCACTGATTATGACTCTTACTTTAAGCAGAGCATTGTTGTTTTCAAATTCTAACAGCAGTCACAAGGAGAAGATTTAAACTTGGCAAAAGAATTGAAGTTAGATTATTACACAAATAGGAAAAAAAGAACTTGAAATAACCAAGGAAGCTTTTTTTCATTGCAGTAGATAGCCTCATAATGCCCACAATAAAAGTAATAGATTTTTCAAAAACTGGGTCCTTTCTAGCAAAGTTCAACAAGTGCATGAAAATGTACATCTGTGAAATAAATCGGCTGCAGATGCAACACCTGGAAATGAGGTCAAACGGGAAGCCATTTGCTATCACAATAAATTACATCTGTAATCTATACAGGTCCCCCATCATTTCAATGAATCTAGCTTAGGAATTTTAAAGACCCTAGTTCATTTGAAAAAAAAATGATGAAAGGTTGACTGGAACAGGATCCTTATGAAACTACAAGCTTTGTATAGTTGAAGGACAAACTACACATGCTTTTAAAATTAAATTTTCTTACATTTGTGTATAATAATAAGACTGATTTTACTCAGTGTCTGAATTAACCTACAGAAATAGCTAAACTATTTAAACTTCAGATTTTTGAAGCAGTATTGTGTTACAATTGCCCTTAGAAACCTAATGCCCCCAGTAACTACCTATTTTTCTTAGGAACCAATATGGACCAATGCAGGTCAGTTTATTTTCCTCTGAGTGTTTCTTATTCTTCTTACCATGACAATGCTGATGGGAACTTACATCTCTCACATACTTCTAAGTAGTAGATTCCGTAATGCAGTACTACTTGGGAGCTCTCAAAACCTGACAGCCTCAGGAGCCTGTCACATGTCTACATCTTTTGCCATGGCTTCCTTTCAACTAAATTTTTGGTCCCATCAACATGGTTGCATTTTCTAAGCAGAAAATAATACTACCAGCATCCAGGTCATTTGCGGTAGCTCACACCTGTAATCCTAGTACTTTTGGAGGCCAAGGTGGGTGGATTACTTAAGACCAGGAGTTCGAGACCAGCCTGGCCAACATAGCGATACCCGTCTCTACTAAAAATACAAAGGAATTAGCCAGGTGTGGTGGTCTGTGCCTGTAATCCCAGCTACTTGTAAGGCTGAGGCATGAGAATTCCTTGAACCTAGGAAGTGGAGGTTGCAGTAAGCAGAGGTTGTACCACTGCACTCAAGCCCGGGTGACAGAGCGAGATTCTGTCTCAAAACAAAACAAACAAACAAACAACAACAACAAAAAACTACCAGCACCCAAACACAAGAATAAGAATTAGAAAAATTCAAAATTCATCTTGATTTCCTCCCCCTACCTCAATCTACTCTCTTTTTTGGCCGTAATTCTACAGGGCTCCTCCAGCCACTGCCACTGCCCACCTCCTGGCCACCACAGGCCTGAAGTCAGAAGCCCGGAGAGCAAGGTGGATAAGCTCTGCGGCTCAGAACGGGCTGTGGGCTCTGTCCCTGGCAGTCTCCACAGAGCGTGGGAAACCAGCTACGAAGTAAAATAGCTGGCTCTTGTTTGATACATGTCAGAACAAGACACTTTTATTGGTCCTAATACTAAACCTCCGTGAGACTAAATTCAAAAGAGAAGTTAGAAAAAATTGTCTTCTCTTGGTGATGTTCCCTAATTCATCAGCTTTATCATTGTGCCAATATACAAAATAACTATATAAAAAGCACCTTAAAATGAGAATTCCTTCACCAAACTGTTCTACATAGAATTATATAAAATATCTTATCTTATGAAAACATGGTCCTAGATGAAATGAAGTAAAACGTATGCTAGAATATAAAGTTAAAGCTACTGTTCTAAAGTTAAAAGCAAATTTGGAAATAATATATTTACTACTTAATGTCAGAAATCTACCTCTTTTGTTACATTGTACTTAAAATAAGTTATGATCCAAATGCGTTAGCCAACCTCATCTGTTTTCATTATGAATGGAAGGGAGAATCCAAGAAATGCATAAGACTATATCTCATAATGATAGCTTCTTTAAAAATGTACTCAGTACTTTTTATGTGTGATCATTCACTGCCTTATTTCTAGCTATTAGAAGCCAGTTACCCAGTTTACTAAGTTGATTATTCCAGAATTTGTCCAAGCAAAAAGTTAAGCTGATGAGTATTTCCAGGGTCATCATCCATTTCCCTTTTTGAAAGAAGGTTCTAAATATGCCCTTTTCCAGTCTTCAGGCACCTCATCAGTCCTCCACGAGGTCTCAAAAATGATATCTAGCGGTTCTGTGATGACTTCGGCCAATTCATTAAGTACTCTAGGATGCCGGCCATCGGGACCTGTGGATTTGAACATATCTGGGTTATTGAAGTTCTCCTTTACCCATTCTTCCCCTAGTCCATCATGGATTTCTGCTCCTGTTTTTAAGTCATACGCGTCCCTTACCACATGGGCTTTTGAAAAAACAGCCCTAAGGGTTTTTGCTTGTTATCTATCAATTTTCTCTTTCAAGTTAATTAACAAAGAATGTATTTTATCCTTGTTAAGCCTATATTTTGTTTAAAAAGGTCTACTTTGTTTTCTTTTTATGTTCCTTCCAAGAGAAGGAAACTGAAAAAAAGATTATATATTTTTTAAAAAGTATACCTTGTAATAGTTTGTATTCCTGAGTCACATTACTCAGTACTACACGTTAGCAACGTTAGTACTAGAGCAACAGTACTCACATTACATTACATCATGAGACATTCCAAAGGTGACCTGTCTCATACTAGAAGAGCACATATCTATCCAACCTGTAGTTGCAAGTACTAATTCGAAATGCGTCTTCCAAAGTAAAAATGATTCACAATCATATTTCATCACGATCATTTGTATACATAAACAGTAACTTTTGCACATAGACTTTTAAAACCCATAGTTAGACATGAGCAGGAAAGATGTTAATAAGAATTTCTTAGAAAGCAGCAACCTAGTCGAATTCATTTGCTGTGTGGTCTTTGCCATCCAGGTTCTTGGGTTTATATTATACTAAGTATCTGCAAGCTCTGATAGATGTTGACAGTTTTAACCCCTTCATTGTTGCAATGATCCCTCTGAAATTGAAAGGCAGCAGTACATTGCAGGGCACTGGCCATCTGCCGTGGCTCTGCCATGCACCCACAATCCCTTGACAGATCCAGATGGACAAAGAAAAGGAAGTAAAGGAAAGTTGGAAGGAAGAAGAAGGATGCCTGAGTCTTTCCTGAGAATTTTGTGCTGCTCGGATTCAACTGTTTGCTTATTTAATTGGAAAACTTTTGGAAAAAGATAAATCCATTCTGTTCTCCTTTGTTTCGTTTCTCTAGTCTCTATCTTCCCAACCTTTCCAAGCTTTGTGAATGCCCCCAAAATAAAAATCCTATTGCTGACATCATCAAGACTCAAAAGAAGAATTCTGCACATTTCTCTAGGGTACGGCAATTTGTTTTACTACCTGCCATTTTCACCCCTGCTCAAACAGCCACCTGCTGATGGCAATATGTTAGCTAATATGTCATTACTAATTAGTTTTGGTGACACCATCAGGCAATCACATCTAAATAGATGGAAAGTATTTATCCAGGTTCATGAAGTTTCTTTCTCCAGATAATCAGGCTAGTTTGCTGTAATACTAAGTAATGATATCTTACTACTAATTAATATATTGAAATAGTCACCAAAATAAACCTCTATCCAAAGCAATACCTCTATTAATCATCAGCTCATGTTATAAACTGCAAAAAAGTAACCTTCAGTCTATCTGAACAAACCAAGTTGTTGGGCTTTTGGGGAGAGAGAGGAGGAGTAAGGGGAAATTCTGGAGAGACGGAAGTTACCTGAATATAAAGAAGGTAACACTGTTTGGTTTTTAATGACCTAAAAAATGAATACATGAAAAGGTGTTAACACCAAACATTACATTTACTATAGAATACAAGAAAACTAGCCACTTGTGTCAGAAAAAATCCAGGAAAAGCCTTAGGTTACAGGGTTAGGGGTCACTCAGAGGGCAGCAAGGCTACTTCCAGGAAAAGAAAAGACCACAAAGGGAGTCAGATGTATCTTGAGGACATTCTCATTATAACGCAAGATTCCATGTCTGTCCTATGTTCAATAGACTTCTGCCTGAAGTCAGAAACATGGTCCTGCCTGCCTTCAAAGGTCACTTTGCTCTAGAAACATATAACAATAAAGAAAATGCCTTTGGACAGATTATCATCTAGCAAGCAAAGACACCCTGAATATTAAATTCATCTAACGGAGTGGACCATGAGTTCATTTCAGAAATCTAACATCAAACTACCAGCCTCCAAAACCTCTCATGTCTTGGATTCCACAAAAACAAATCATATTCATTAAACAAGTCCAGCCTTGCAATTTGCCATTTTTCATTCTTTGGGGGAGAGGGTGGGGGGAAGACAAACAGGATTTCTGCCATGGGTCATGGAGAGTTTCAAGATGTGAGAGCAGTCACAGGGAACAATAATTAGTGGAGCACGTGTTGCTTCATGACCATGGGAAACGTCAGTGATTTCCCTGTCTTGAATGCTCTTTATTCCTTTCTGGCTGATCACATTGTGGTACACTGTGGCTGCTCTTGGTAGATCCCACTCTGTAAGTGGAACACAAATGAACAGATCTAAAATTCTGACAAGCTTGAAGGAGATAACTGCTGAAGATAACTTTTATGGGCAAATGTGCATTTCACGGAGCTGCTCCTGAACATATCACACATTTTCATATTTCATTCCCCCCCTAAATTATCAGACACACTCCTACAAAGAAAAAAACAAGCTCTTTCTTCACCAAGAAAAATAATCATCTGTTCACGTGTTCACAGTCTTCCTTGGTTATCAAACTAGGTTGACTTGAAAATCATGGCCAGGCACAGTGGCTCATGCCTGTAATCAGCACTTTGGGAGGCTGAGGCGGATTGCCTGAGGTCAGGAGTTTGAGACCATTCTGGCCAACACGGTGAAACCCTGTCTCTACTAAAATTACAAAAATTAGCCAGGCATGGTGGTGGCAGGTGCCTGTAATCCCAGCTACTCGGGAGGCTGAGGCAGAAGAATTGCTTGAACCCTGGAGGCAAAGGTTGCTGTGAGCTGAGATCGTGCCACTGCACTCCAGCCTGGGTGACAAGAGCAAAAGTTCGTCTTAAAAATTAAATAAATAATCAAAGGCATTGATCCTTTCTCAAAATTCATGGAAGCCAACCTCTGCAGGAATAAATACCAAGTTATATTTTGGGGTCTTAACACCCCTAACGTTTTGTATTTTTAAAGATGAGGTTTTCTGTTGTTGTTGTTGTTGTTGTTGTTTTTTAAAGTGATTGCCAGAATATTCCTTGTAGTGTGTCAAATTATTATCCCCCTATTTCTAGGAAAACATTGCTAAAAGGTTTATATCCCAGTTGGTCTATTCTTCCCTACCTGACGTTGAGACCACTCTCAATCAGAGACTTCTTACATTTAATCCACCCAGACCTAATTCTTGGGTTGTGACTTTCTCAGTTTCATTTGTTCTAGGCTTTTATCTGGTTTGAGGGGCCTCTCATTTTCTAGGTTTGGCAGTTCTCCTATGCCAAACCTCCTATCAATGTTAGAATTCTAATCAGAGAAGCAGGAGAGGCAGTAGAAGTTACTCAATGAGTAAAGAAACTATTATCTTATGGTTAAAAATTAAGGTTTATGAGATTGCATTTTTTCTCAGTTGATTATTCTGATTTTTAACTGACTTCAAGTCTGTTACTCTTTTTAGCTCGTGATTTTCCCCCTAATTAAAGGCAATCAGAGAGATATGCAGGCTAAACACCATTCAGAAGCCATTTCTCTATTGTGACATTATTCTAAAGGATGTAGCTCAATTGCAGCTGTAGAACCAGTTGACACACATTTTCCATATTTGGTTGCTAAAGAAATATAACAAGTGACTGTATATTAATAGTATGTAAAATTTACACACAATTTGGGGGAAAAGCTGTGTAACAAAAAAACTTGATGATGGTAGGAGTGTTGCTTTCTATTCTTTTGTATTACACAGGGGCACAAAGCAGAGTCTTTGGGTGGCTGGTGATAAGACAAGATTTTTTGACCTCATGACATACTCAACTTCAGTTTTCCAATGTTCAGCCATGTCACACTGGCTATCACTATAGAACCGAGAAAGGGGGGAATTTGTGTGAATACAGGACACTTAAATACATCCTCACTGTGATTGTCAATTTCTCCAGCAGCAAAACCCCTACATTTTACATGAGTTCATATCTCCTATGGGAACATTATACATAATGTCAGCTATTACTACTGGTGATCGATGGAATTGTCCCTACTATAATTTTCACAAACATTTCTCACTAACCTAAGTTCCTATCAGAAAAATTTAGTCTAGAAAGTCAGATAGTCTTTATTGCCTATGCAATAAAGAAAACATGGTCAACATATGTTCACTGAGCCCATATGTGTCTCGATGATCATATTCCCTCTAAGCATTTCCTCTTTGGCTCCTACACGAGGTAAGGCTAAGGCTGGCTCCTGAACCCCAGTGGGCTAAAGGATGCAACATTAGATTACACAAATAGCTGGTAATATACACGTGTCCTGATAGGCTCTTTTTCTACTGAAAGAGTCTTCCCTAGGGTACGTTTTCTAAGATTTTGTGGAAGAGAAAAACTTTTGGTCTACTCCAGAATGATCCACATTATACTCTACACATCTTTTCTTTTTTTGACTTTAGAAACAAATACCCCAATGCCACCCTAATTATAAACTCTTCTCATTATCCTGCCTTCATCTGAGGTGTGTCCTTGGTAAATGAAGATGTACTATTCTACTTCCTGGAGAAAATTAAGTAAATTATAATAAACTCCAGGGCTTTTGGCTGCCTCTTTCAGAGCCACACGAGTTATAAACTGTTCAGGAGTTTTCTGCAGCTTTCAGCAAAGGAAAAGTACAAAGGAGAGATTGGCTGGACATTTTCCTACTGCTGTTCCTTCAGAAAAAAAAACTATCATGAACAAATTCAGAGTTTGAAAAACAAAAGCCTCTTTGTTTATGCTATCCTGGGACACTAACTGATTTTATAGTATTTCCTACTGCAGAGCTATGCAAATTCCCTACTTTCTTAAAAGTACTTTGCTGTACTCATCACTGACGCTTCTGAGAATACTAACTTCCCACACAAGAGACCAAGCCCCAGGGCTGTGGTCTGCAAGCGGCAGCCAGTGCTCCCAGGGACCGCCGCTTCTGAGGCCAGCGTCGGAGTCAGGGCCATGCCTTATCTCGATCAGGAAGAAATGACTGGGAATTTAACTGTTGGG